AGTTCACACATTGTTAACATAAACTTGAGTGCAAATTTGAGCTGTTGGTGTGCCAAATTCATAACTTTCCCATAAATGGTTCAATGGGCTACCATAGAATTAAGAATGGAAGAAGAAGATAATGAAAAAATAGGTGTCTATGCACCTTCGGTTCTTGGCCCAGGGCTGGTGCTACCTATAGGCAGAGTAGACAATTACGTAGGGTTGGGAGGCGGGGGCTCCATAACCGTAACAGCCCTGTACGTTACTCCACCAATCAAGATGGACAGCAAAAGACTAGACTCTTTGTCCATTGGATATAGATGAATTGTTACTCACCTGTAGAGAAACCCATTAATATTACTGTTTCAAAGTGGGTCCCACCCTCTGAACGTATGAAGAGATAAGGTACAATGAACAAAATGCAAAAATGCACCTTTTCAGCTGACTGACTATAAGTCAATGTGTTATGATGCTGCCTTAACGATCACATCCTTCAGGGGCAGTTGAGCGAAAGGCTAAACCGACACACATAGAAAGTGCAGCTCGTGATGCAGGTATGTGAGATACCATCAACTATTTTGGAGTGATTGTAATGTATACTAAAAATAAACTGGGCCTTGTTCTGTCATTCAGCATCATTTCGGGATAGATCATTTGCCGGTTTATTCCGAGTTCAAAAGAATGTGAGCGTTCAATACAAATAAGCATTCAACTTTATGAAGAAATGAACAATTCGTTTTGGTTAGTAGTTTGTCTCTTTCACTTCAACTAGCAGTTGATTTGTTGATATCAACTGCTTATGTGGGCGATTATGGCTCAGGTGGTAGAGCGGGTTGTCCACTAATCGTAGGGTTGGTGGTTCAATTCCCGGCCCACGTGAATCCCCATGCCGAAGTGTCCTTGGGCAAGACACTGAACCCCAAGTTCCTCCTGATGGCAAGTTAACGCCTTTCATGGCCGCACTGCTACCATTGGGGTGTGTGTGAATGGGTGATAAAAGTGCTATATGAGTGCAGACCATGTACCATTTATATAGTGCATATTTAAGGTATTGCACTACAATGCACAATTTGACTATATCTATAGTCTATATTGGATTAATAGGAAGGGGAAAAACTGTCCAGAAGAGATGTGTACGTTGCCATGGCCATGACAGCATCCTTAACAAAGTAATATGAGATGGTCCAGATCAGGGTCCCCAAATGTGGACCGGTACCGGTTCGTGGGTCATTTGGTACCGGGCCACACAGAAAGAATAAATAACTTACATTATTTCCGTTTTATTTATTATCTGAGTCTGAACGGTGATTTATTTAGAAAAATGACCAGATTATTTCTCTGTTACATCCGTCTACGACTCGCTCTTGACGCATGTCAAGACGCTTGTCTCGTTCACGTGATACGTTAAGCGTTAGGGGGCAGAGAGGATGTTACCAAGACGCTGCTAATTAAGTTGCGATTTCACATTGGATTCACGTTTATTATGATATTTTTAAAAATACCCCAGTTTTTATGCCGGTCCTATCATTTTATTTTGTTGTATTTATCCGCCACACCTTAAAGGCCGGTCCGTGAAAATATGGCCTGATGTTAAACCGGTCCATGGCGCAAAAAAGTTTGGGGACCGCTGGTCCAGATGACCTTTCATTCTTTGATTAATTTTTTTTTAGCATTTACCTTAGATAAAGTTGAATTTATATGCCCATATAAGTAAAAAATATACAAAAACTCATACAGAAGTTGTATAAATTAAAAGGTTAGGAATCATATGTTTCAACTGCTTTTTATTTTTTCTGAAAGGTGGAACGAGAAGGGGTGTGGGGGGTCGTCAACATAAATTCTGCCTAGGGCCTCCAAATGTCTAGAACTGACCATGGCTTGGCCACTAATAATAATTACATTAATACACAATTTAAGAATAAAAAAACAAATATACAAGAGGTAACCATCATAATTACTCAGATGGTATAAGATTACATCGAACGTACGTCTGCAGTATACGGTGCAGTAATCCGTTTGAGTAATGCCAACGATCGTCTTTTGTACTTTTTTTCTGCGTGATTCTCTAAGGACATCATCCTCATCTCTATGATGGTATACATTTGGTGATATTTGGATAACATAATTAACAATATTTAGTTATGTTAAACATTTCATTAATTGTATTAATCATATAACGATCTGAATTGTATTTATAATATAAATCCACGAAACTGGGATGTATAAACAGGACCACTCACTCACTTCAAGTCACGAACATGCTGTTTTAGTTTTATGTCTGAGCTAAAGTCTTGAGAGATCAGAGCAATTATACACCAAACTGGGTTTGAAAATATCACTCCACACCTCCACTTCACCCACATCACTATTGCAGCATTTATTTCTGAAATGAAAATAACAACTGGGTGAAAAATCAGACAAATACTGGCTTATGCTCAGCTGAATAACACACCAACGTGATATGCTGGTGTGTGTGTGTGTGTGTGTGTGTGTGCGTGAAGGTATCTGGAGCGGACAGTGAAAGAGGGGGTCGTACACACCAGCACTCTGACTGTAGTAAATGTGAGTGCAGCTCTGGACTATGCTGTGTTTACCTGCACTGCCCGAAACAGCCTTGGGGAGGACACTCTGGACATCCAGCTGCTCAGTACCAGTATGCACATCTTGCACACAGCACACACACATGGCAATATGGCTTTTTTTCAGGTGACTGTCAGGTCAATTAAATACCTGATACCTTAGCCATCGACCTTTCACTGTATTTGCTGTGCAGGAGCCCGGGAGAAGTGCGAGTATCACAGTATCAGCAGGAAGTGATATTTCACAGTTTTTGTGGTCGTTTGGGAAAACCCATAAGAAGCAACTAAGGCTGAATTCTTTACAACTCTAAGAAACCTAAATAAATTTGATCAAACAATATGGAAATGATATTTACCTTTTAACCTTTTCATGACTATCTGCAAAGAACATGTTTGTTTACAAACACGGTCTGCTTAATGATATCGAATTCCTTGCTAGTTAAGTGTGATTTCCTCACACATGCTTTGATCAAGTCTTTGGATAGCTGTGTGCTGTAGCAAAATGTACATAAACCTGATCAATTTGCTGATGTAGTCCATCTGCTCCAAGGTTCAATGTGTTGTGCATTCTGAGATGCTTTTCTGCTCACCACGGTTGTAAAGAGTGGTTATTTAAGTTACCGTAGGCTTTCTGTTAGTTCACACATGCCTGGCCGAATGGCCATCCTTAACGTCTTCCATCAAAAAGACTTGTGTGCGAAAATCCTACAAAGTCAGCAGTTTCTGAAATATTCAGCCCAGCCCATTTGGCACCAAAACCCATGCCATTGTGAACATCACCGAAATCACATTTTTCCCACATTCTGAACATTAACTGAAGCTCTTCACCTGTATCTGCATTATTTTATGCATTGTGCTGCTGCTATATGATTGGCTAGTTGGATCATTGCATGAATGATCACACGTCCAGGTGTTCCTATTAAGACACAGGTTACTTAAGTGAAGTCTTATCTGGTAAAATAAATGGGGGGTTGCACTGGGGATACCCAGTAATTACTGATTTAAAAAGGAAGATGGGACTTGATCGACCTAAACAGTCGACTGGCAGGATTTACACTCAAAGCCTGTTTAAGATGACTCTCAGCTTAACCATGATCAACAATTATGTATTGTTATTTGTTAAATAACACATTGTTTCATTTGCTTATTATTAGCCTTACAATGTGTAGAGATCCGATGGGAAGATCACTATGCTACGAAGATATAATGAGTGATTGTCAGAGGTACTGAACAGTTAACATGGCTTGCGAAGCTAACAGCTAATGCAGCTAGCTAGGGTTATTTGTGGTTGGGACTGAAATTTTAGAGAAAGCAGGATTGTCTCAGTGTTAATATGCATTTCTATTTGGGCTTTGCACTCTTTTAGGGAACGTGAACTAATCAAAAAAGCATTTTTTTTACTTTTTAAATACATATTCTATAAAAATTGGTTTCTATTTTCTACTATATTTACAAAGCTGGTGCATTAGGGGCATTTTAAAAGTCAAAGTTTCTCAATATTGCCTAAGGAAAAGCAAAGCAATCACTCTCTGTCTTCCTTCCTCAGTTCTTTTTCTTTTGAATCACTTTTAGTGCTCTCATTTCTTCTCTAACTGTATCAGCCCCTCTCTTTATTTTCCATACTCTCATCTCTCCTTCCTCTCTCTCGCTCGCTGTCTGACTTCTGGCCAGTTCACTACACTCCGGCAGCATGTTTAATGTTTACCATAAAAACCATGAAATACAATCCAATATTCTCTTTGCTCCTTCCCTTTTATAATTTTACAACTGTGAATATTCATAATTAATCTGATAATAAATACTAAATGCTTCTTATAAGATGCCGGAAGAGAAATAAGCATGGGTTTTTCTTTTTCGCTCATATTTACATGACATATATATTATTTTCTGAGCTTTCTGGAAGTTAAAAAAGCAAGACTGACCCTTCTGCCCTTCTGTGCTCAAAGTGGTCAAAGTGGTGGCACACAATTACTATTTACTCACCAGGGGAAATGAATGGGAACATACTTTATATCCCTCTCTCTTCCTTTCTCAACCTTGCAGTGCTTCTATTATTCAGTGGCTCTGAAGTACACTCTTCTTCTACAATCTGTCACTTCTTGTCATCGGAATAGCAGTGAAGGGAAATTTATTTATGTACATAAACTCAAAAGGTCATCACCTGACTGAAACTTCGTACAGCTACAATCATTCTGGTTCCTACAACCACCTTCATCATCATCATCATCATCATCATCATCATTATAACAGTCAGAAACTAGCATTATTATCATCATGACTATCACTGCCACCACAACCTTCATTATCAACATCAGCAATACATTTACGGCATTTGGCAGACACCCTTATCCAAAGCAACTTATATTCATCTAATTTTTTTAATACAACTGAGCAGTTGAGGGTTATGGGCCTTTGCTCAAGGGCCCAGCTGTGGCAGCTTGGCAGTGCTGGGATTTGAACTCACAACCTTCTGATCAGAAGTCCAATGTCCTAACCTCTACCACTTTCCCAATAATTATAATCCCATCGACCATCGATCATCTCCGCTATCAAACAAGATCATCGTCATCATCAGCACCACTGTCAGGAGCCATCATCATCCTCCTCATCATCAGAATGATCACTACCACAACATTCTTCATAATAAACATCATCATCATGATATTCGTCACAATCAACCATCATTAATATCATCACTGCCATCAGCCAACATCATCTTTGCCATCAGGAGATATCATCATCATCATCATCATCATCATTATCATCGACTGAACACTACCAACAAATGGTTCATCATCAGCGGCATCATCATCATCATCATCATCGGCTCTTTAGTTCTTCCACACAGGATGTCCAGCACACATTCGGACACAAAAAGCACAAAAGCCTACACTATTACAACTGTCTTCGTAGTGCAGGGGAAACTGGGGAAAGCAGACGATTATCTCACATTATCTTCTCCAGTCTTCTCCAGACTGCATGGCTTCCTAGTAAAGTTTTAGAGTACTTTGGGAACCTTTTGTAATATATTTTACAAACCAGAGAGTCGAAAGTGCCACTGTAGACTACCAATTTATTCTCACTGTAATAGGAACAGTGAGTATAAACATTCATTCATTCAATTATCCACTCAGCCAATGATGTGGCAGCAGCTCAATGCATAAAATCATGCAGATCCAGTTAAAGAGCTTCGGGTAATGTTCACATCAAACATCAGAATGCAGGAAAATGTGATCTCAGTGACGTTGACTATGGCAAATGGTTTGAAAATGTCAGAAACTATTGATTCTGTTGGATTTTCACACATAAAACGCCTGATGATGAGAGAGGTTTAGGAGAATGGCTTGTTTGAATTAACAAGAAGGCTAAGGTAACTCAAATAATCACTCTTTTCAACCGAGGTGAGCAGAAAAGCATCTCAGAATGCACAGCGTGTCAGTCATTGTGGAGGATAGGCAAAAACAGCAGAAGGTTACTGTCCTGTCAAATTCTAAATGTATTCGGATCCAAAGGGCTATATAACAATCATTATTTTATTTTCCTCTGCTCCTTTACTCTACTCTAATTTGTAAACAAATTCCGTTCATTCTAGTTATTAATCTAATTATGAGGCTGGCTGTAAATGTTGTTCTTTTCAAAGTACATGACAAAAAAATGTGCCTACCAAGTCAACGGTGCATAACCGAGAGCATTAAAAGGCTAAGTGAATGTACGGCTTGAATTATATTTGAGCCACAGGAGAATTTTGTTTACGAAAACCAGGCAAATGTCCTTTATAGACTCTGTTCCCATTCACAATATGAGCAAGTGAATCTCTCTCAATTACCAGGACTATACAACAAGCAATAAAAATGTTAAATGTTTTTAATTTTTTTTCTAAAGTGCATAACAGTGGAAGGTTGTATGTCGTAAGCAGACCCTGAAGTTGAGTGTTAATAATTAAATCTCAGCATTGTTGCCAGTTTTGGACTGGCAAACTGTATGATCAGCAAAGGCTCATCTTGCCAGCGTTGCTGCAGTGTCAGACTCCTCTAGGACTGTAATTGCTGTGTGTGTTTTGCTTTTATAATAGTAGCTCTGCATTACTGCATGACTGTGCTTTTAGTCGGTGCTGTCAGAATGTCGCATGTGCAGAAACAGCTGCGTCTGAATAGACTGGATCATACAGCTCTGTGGCTTTCAGTGCTGATATTTATACACGAATGAATGATGAATGATCGGAAAAGATTGGGCTGTTGTTTCTTGAGGGTTTTTTGTTGTTTTTTTCTAAAGCTCAATTATATTTCCAGTCATTTATGTAATCTCAATAGATGTTTTTCACTATGAGTAGACAATACAATATTGAATGCATCTCTCTATCTATTTTTCTCTGTTTGTCTGACAGATTACCCAGACCCCCCCTCAGACCTGAAGCTTCTTAGCGTCTCCTCAAACTCCGTCACTCTGGAGTGGATGCCCGGCTTTGATGGAGGTCTCACTCAGAATTTCCGAGTCAGGTCAAACACAGAGACTAATTATAAATTATAGCTTGTAAATAAGGTCAGGCGAGTGGAATCAGTGGAGTCACAACTCTGGGTTCATGCCACAGAGGACATATCTGTCTTACCATGCCATGCTTTCCTACTTTTTAATGTCATGATATCACTTAAGCTGTCTTATCAATAACCTTTAGAAATGACGAAGCGATATATACAAGATCTGTTGACGGTTGAGGTAGAAGAGAGGGACTGAGTAAGGTGGTGGAGATAGAGGGTTACGGTCTTCTTGATTAGTTAGTTCATTCGTTTCTACAGTGTTGAATATACACTTGCATTACAAAATTATCATCTATAATGTTGATTATACTTCAGTATTATTAAATTATCACCTGCAGGGTTTAATTAACACATTTTATACCATAACTCTAACAGTAGTTCCAGCTGTAACATGACTATTTAGGTTTATATTTGCTCATTCAAATCCATTGTTGTTTCTATAGAAACACCGGGACCTCACAGGGACTTATATGGCAGCCTAATAATAAAGGGCTGAAGAAAATGTGTTGTTATTTAACAACAACAAAAAAGTATAATGTGTGATATACTGAAGTTTCCTGTTGCTGATGTTTATTTAATATTTACTGATGCGTGTCCGCAGGGGTCAGAGCTTTGTAACGGTCAGTAAACAGAGGCGCTTACTCAGTGGTTAATCTGTAACATGACAAGCTGTGGGTTTTGTTTGTTTTTTGGCCTTTTTAACTTCAAGAGACAAAGAAGTGAGGGTTGTGAGGGAACAGTTGTTTGTAACTAACCATAAATGGTTAAAAAAAGCATGATTTTTTATTAATAAATTAAAACTGTTGACAAATTGCTACATTATAAGAGCAAGAATACACTCTGGGATATGCTGTTATATGAAAACAATCCACTCCACTTCAGGTCAGACCACATCACACCACCCTGGAGTGAAATATTTTCTTATAACAGCATGGCTGTCATGGGTTATGCATTACTTGATGAATGAGCTCTAATACTGATTATTTCAACTCGTGTGGTGTTGAATGCACACCTACTGTACTACGTTGAATTTAAAATCAGTGTTGAAGTCAACAACAACATTCCAAACAAACTAATAGTTTTAAATTGACACCTACAGTTCGACAGTGATGAATTAACATCTACAGTGTTTTCTCAGGTCCAGCTTGACTTATGTTTCTCTTTTGCTATATCTGATGTTCAGGTACCGGTGGGCAGGGTCTGCTAGTTACCTGTACGTTGATGTTTTTCCTCCGAGATCCACGGTGTACACAGTGAGTGGCCTGAAGGCTTCCACCACCTACAACTTCTCAGTTAATGCCATTAACTCGATGGGAGAGAGCAGCTACGCTGATAATGGTGCAGTACTCACTGTCACCACTATGGGTGAGTATGGAGCTCTCACATGGCTGATCCTGCACTTTCCTATTGAGTCTGGCTGAAACTCTCTGCCACAGTCCTGATTTTCCTAGAAATGTCATGTGATAAAAATTGTGAAATTATATCAAAAAGGCATTAGAAAGGTGTTATCCATAATAGCCATGTCCACCAAATAAGGTGGCAACAATCTAAAACATATGTAATAATAAATCCCACATATGAAAGCCATAATGTGTGTTATAGTTAAACCTATATTAAAGTAAGCTTCTAAGACAAGATTTGTTTTTGTGGTTACATCTTTACATGATACAACATATACAATATGGCCAAAGATATGTGGACACCTGACCATCACACCCATATGTGCTTGTTGAAAATTCTATTTCAGATTTAGCTCTCCTTTGCTGTTTTAAAAACCTCCACTCTTCTGAAAAGGCTTTCCACTAGATTTTGGAGCGTGGCTGTGTGAATTTTGCTCATTCATCCACAAGAGCATTAGTGAGGTCAGGCACTGATGTTGGGTGAGGAGACCTGTGTTGCAATCAGGGTTCTAGTTCATCCCAAAGGTCCTCAGTGGGGTTGAGGTCAGGGCTTTATGAAGGACATGCAATTTCTTCCACTCCAGTCTTGGTACACTCATTTTGTGCACACGTTCATTGTCATTCTGAAACAAGTTTCGGCTCCTAAGTTCGGAAAATATTAATTCTATATCATACGAAGACATTCTAGACAATTGTGTGCTTTCAGCTTCATGGCAACAGTTTGGGGAAGGTCTACATATAAGTGTGATGGTCAGGTGCCCACAAACTTTTGGCTATACTATATAGTGTTGTGATGGACATAAAACAACAGACTCATTGAAATAAGAAGGTGAAGTTCAAATAAGAAGGTAGTGTGATATCGTCCAATCATAGTATACAAGGAGCCTCCAAAAAAAGCCTAGTCCTTTAAGAGCAAGGACTGTTCGAGGCTCGCCAATCTGCCAACAGATGCATCAACGAATAATCCAACACTTTGAGAACAACATTCCCCAAAGAGAAATCAGTAGGATTTGGGGCATTTCACCTTCTACAGTGAACAATATAATTAAACGATTCGAGGAATCCGGTCAAATCTCAGTGGGTAAAGGGCAAGGACAAAAACCACTTCTGAATGCACATCATCTCTGAAAGGTTTTGGTAAATCTTTGTCAGTCAACACCATTTACTGGTGCACCCACAGATGCAAGTTAAGGCTTTACTATGCAAAGCAGAAACCATACATCAACACTGTCCAGAGGCACTACAGACTTCTCTGGGCTCCGTTCCTTCTGAGATGGACAGTAGCACAGTAGAATCAAGTCAACATTTCAAATAGTTTTTGGAACAAACAGCCATCATGTTCTCCGGGCCAAAGAGGAAAAGGACCATCCAAGCTGTTATCAGCGTCAGGTCCAAAAGCCAGCATTTGTCATGGTATAGATAACTTGCACATCTGTGAAGGTACCATTAATGCAGAAAGATATGTACACATTTTGGAGCAACATATGCTGCCATCTAGAGCAGGTTACGCAGGGTTGTGTAAGCAGAGAGTGCGGGTGCTAGCAGGGCCTTCATGCAGTCCTGACCTGTCTCTGA